CCCCCCCCCCCCCCCCCCCGGAGACGTGCATGGGGCAGGATCCAGACTTGCTGTTGTGAGCTTGGGGCTCCCTCCACCCCCGGTGCCCTCCCCCCAGGGGCCTCTGCAGCCCAGTGGGCAAGACCAAACAGGATGAGGAAGCTCAGTGTCACTGCCACGAGCCCTGCACCACCATGGTGAGGAACCTCCAGCCCACCTGGCAGCGGTGCGGGGTGGTGGGGCGTAGCTGTGCTCCCTGGTGCTTCTGGGAGGGCGGGGGGCACCTTGCCATGGTGGTGTGGGAGTTGTGGTGGTGGCACTAAACTTCCTCACCAGGTCCTGCTCTGCCCTGCCACGCTGGGCCGTGGAAGTCCCAGGGAGAGGGCAGCAGGGCAGGGAATCCTTAGTCTGCAGCAGGTAGCCTGCATCTGCCTCTCTCCTCCCCCACCCATGCACTCAGTTCAGCCAGTGGGGGAGGGGAGCTGGGTTTTGCTCCGCCACAGTAGCTGCTGCTTCTCCCAGGCAGCAGCCAGGGCTCAGGTGCAGCTGCAGGGGGCAGGAGGCTGTGGGCCTGGGTCCCTGGCCCTGTAGTCCTGGCAGCTGGGGGCTGCCTCCGGCAGTGCTGGGGGAGGGGCAGGGCTGGGAAGCTGTGGGTGGGGGGAGTAAGGGGCAGCAGCAGGGGGGTCTGTGGGTGGAGAGAGAGGGGCAGTGGCATGGGCAGGACACTGGCATATTGAGGCCACTCAGTGCCACAAAGCAGTATAAGGGACAGCTGCAGCTGGGCCTGGGTCCTGGTGAGTGAAGGTGATGGGGAGCTCTGATTTTTTTTTTTTTGTTTTTTTGTTTTTTTCCATGATAAACCCAAAATCAACCACCAAAATGTATAGGTGTTTAGAATTTGTTTTATTACCGTGATTGAGGCAGTGGTTGGCTTCCAAATGGCTTTAAGATTGTAAATGTATCAATAAAATGTGTTCAACTGATACCTATATAGAGAGGGGGAGGGGGCATTTCATTTTAATCATGGAAAAAACTGGATTGGAGGGGTGGGGGGGGTTCATCAGACAATTTGTGATTTTTATCATGGAAAACCAGGATTCCTGATGATAAATGAATATAAAATGAGTGATCCAGGAAAGCTAGTTTAGGAACTTATTTCCAGCACCAGCTCCATGACAGTCAGCAGCAGCGGTGGCCACAGACCAGCCCCATTCTGCCCAGTCAAGAAGAAGTTAGGGGTAGCACCTTCAGGCAGGGTTGGGGCTGTGGAACCCAGCTGGGAGCCAGAGGATAAGGAAAGCAGAGGGGTGGAAGCAGGCAGGTGGTGGGGGAGTGCAAGCTGTGGGGGTGAGGTCCATGGTCTCCCTCTCATCCCTTCCTATTGTGTGCTGCTTTTTCTGCTGCATGAGTCACCCCAGCGTGGGGCAGGTGGCAGCTCTGCTCTGATCTTGAACTTGGGATTAGAGCAAAACCTCTGCTTGCCCTAGGCTAGTACTCAAATCTAACATGAGGCTCTTTTTTCCCCCCTGCGTTGTTTGGTGGTAGAAAAATGTTGTCTTAGATTTAAGTAAATATGGTACTACTAAAATTTTGGAGACTCTTTCAACATCTGGTAAAGGGGGGAGGGTGAGGAGGAAAGGGACATGGCTGTTCAGTTGCTGACTATTTTGACACATTGATGGGAGCATGTGTTTCATTAGAGATACCCTCATGGAGATGAGACTGATCTCTATTTAACCACTTTGTAGGTGTCAACCCTACAGACATTTTAATTCACACTCATGTTTTTTGGGTTCGTATATGACATTTGCTTCTAAGCTACTAATTAGACACACATGAATATACCTGAGTCCATGCACAAATCTGAGAAAAATAACTTTCCTTTCTTCACTTCGAAAAATGATTTTCCGTGATGATTTACCTTCCATAGGGTCTCATTTACATAACCGTTAGCAGCTTTTCATTGCTTCTCAAGAAAGTTAAGGAAGTAAAAAATCAGGTTAACTTTTAGTTGACCTTCTTAACTCTGAATGTATAATGGTTTGAATTACCTATTATGAATATCACACTGTCAAATAGTGAAGCTGTGATACTTACAAATGAAGTGCTTTCCACTTGCTCCACAGATGGTTCTGACTCCAGAGATAAGCCAAAGCTTTATCGTCTACAATTAAGTGTTACTGAAGTTGGAACAGAAAAATTTGATGACAGTTCTATCCAGGTAAGGAGAGAGTCTCAAGTGAAAGAACTGATCAATTTCAGCCAGTCATGTGTGAGACCGTGGGAATTTGCCTAGTACTTTAGTGATCTTAACCATTGAATTATTCAACTTTAGCCTGTTTCGGACTTTCACATTATTAAGTGTTAATACAAAATGTATTAAAAATCCACTTGTTACCCCACTTGCTTCTTCCTGACCAATCTGATTTACCCTTTGAAGCTAGAGGGCTGATGAG